CAGAGTCTCCGTTCTGGGCACTGGGGATCTATCTATACGTACACAGCGGTGAGCAAGCCAGACGAACTCAAGGAGCTCTCGAGGAGCTTCCATCCCAGTGGGACGGAGACAGATCAAAACCTCAAAACAAGCATGGGAGGCAACAGGTAATTTCAGAGAGTGACGGGTAGCCTAAAACAGTAAGACTGACTCGGGACGCGCTGCGCATGTGGTCTCCGGTGGTTGAGGAAGCCCTCTCTGAGCCGCTCGGAGGGGAGTTTGAACTAAAAGGAGAGCAGTCAGCCTTTCGCAGATCCCCAGGGAACAGTGGAGGCAAAGGTCCTGAGGTGGGAACCAGCAGAAAGGAGCAGCCAACACGTTGTGGAAAGTTCCAGGGCTCTTGGCTCAGCGTCCAGACTCCGGGAGTCCAGGGCATCCGTGCTGGGAAGGCCTCTACACTTCAAGCTCAGCTCAGAGGAAGAGGGGGTCTTCTCACCGGCTCTTCCCTGCCGGAGCCACACCCCTCCCAACACCTCCCCCACCCCTCCCTCGGGCCAGCCTCCCCTCTGCCACAGCTCCCAGAGTGACCTTTGCAAAGTCACACACGCTTGCGGGCCTTGGCTTCCTGTCGGGGGAATCCAAGCATCCCCCCACTGGAGGGTCCCAGCTTCACTTATGTCTCTTTGAGGGGTGGCCCAGGGGCCTCCATCTTGTTAGAAATCTCCTTCTCTCTTAAGGAGAGGAAACTCACCTAGCCGTGACCTTCATCGCTTGATCAATCAAGCCCTCATACCTGCTCCCTGGCCAGCTACTAGTCCAGACTGGCGGAGACCCAAGTGGTCCTTCTGTCACCACCGGCCCCACCCCCAGGACAGGCTGGCACCTGCCGCCTCATCACCCCAACAGCCGGCACACCTGTAGCTGTTGGCTAGCACCTAACCAGCAGGCTCTGTGTTGAACCTGTTGCTTGGGTGACCTCCTTTCATCCTCACCACCACAACTCGGGGGTGGGAATCCTGAGTCCCAGGGACCTGAAAGTAATTTGTGCAACCAAACGGCAGAGCTGGGACTCGAACCCCGAGCAGCCGGGTTCTCCAGTCTGTTCTTTCAGCGGCCTGGCCATGCTGGCGTGGTGGTGTGAGAGCAGATGCTGACAGGGCACCTGTATACCAGTCGCCGACTCGGGGGTGCTGGGCATAGAGCGACCTACACCCTGCCCCCACCCCCACCCCCACCCCCAGGGGACTGACACCGAACCAGGGATAGCAATAGATGTTTCCTAAAAAAGAAGGTACTGTTAGGAGCAGCTCGCATTTATTGGGCCCTTTCTGCATGCTAAGCGCTGAGTTAAACGTTTTTCTTGCATGTTCCCATGAAATCCTTCACAAAACCCTCAGAGGGAAGAGCTGCTCTTTTCCCCCTTTTCAGAGATGAGGAAACTGAGGCTCAGACTGCCTGGGGGTCCCCCGGCCAGGAAACGGTGGCGCAGACATTTGATCTCGTGGCACGGATTCCTCGGGGCTTTCTTATCCAGCCTCTCAAGACCAGTCATTCTCCCTACAAACACGTCCCTGGTCTGAGCTAAGCCCAGCTCTGGGGGACACAGCTAAGAATTGGGCCCCCTGGGGAACACCTGGTCAGGTGGGGGAGGCGCCCTTGAACACTGCCCCAGCCGAGTCAGAGAGGATCCAGTAGAGAGTGGAGACACTCTCGGTCTTGAACAGTCAGGGAGGTCCTCCCGGAGGAGGGGGCATTTGAGTTTGGGTCTTGAACAAGGAGTAGGAGTTCAAGAGCTGGAGACACATGTTGTAGGTATCTCTTTACATTCATCCTTCCAGTAAGTATTTCCCAAGGCCTTCCAGGGTCAGGCCCTGTGCTGGGAGATGCTGAGGGTACATACAGACCTGAGTCAGACCCAGGCTCTGCCCTCGAGAAACTTCTAGTCTGATGGGGGAAACAGACACAGATGGTCACCACAGTGTGTGATATGAGCTCTAAGGGAGGTAGTCCAGGCATTGTGGGAAAACAGACCAGGCTTGGAGGGGTAGGGAGGGCTCCCCAGAATTGAGAGAGAGTTTTCCAAGCAGAATTCCTACCGAGTGGATCTCATGTGCACCAGCTTGCTTATACATTAAACATCTCGCGAGGCCTCCTATGGGCCAGGCCCAGAGCCAGCAATGCTGGAACCCTGGAGGTGGGTCAGACACAGGCCCCACCTGGAGGGGCTCCCATCTGGTGAGGGAAGCAGGCTCAGACAGGATCCAGGGTGATCAGGACCGAGAGAGAGAGAGAGAGAGAGAGAGAGAGAGGCAGGAGCCGTGCTCAGCGACCAACTGGGTGTGAAATGACTATTCCCACCCCCACCTCCACTTACTAAAGCCCAGAAAAGGGAAGGGACTTGCCCAAGGTCACACAGCAGGGAGGGGGTTCCTGATCCTGGAGTCTGGGAATTGTGTGAGACAGATTCACGGACCCAAGACATCCAGATTTATAGACACGGGGACCAGGAATCCAAGACCCGCCTGAGACGTGGAGTCCTTCATCACGAAGTCTCCTGGGACTGCCCTCGGCTGAGCCTGGAGCTGGGTGTGCCGGGGACACAGATGGTCTGAGCCAGGCTCTGGCCGGGAGGAGCAGGTTGGGGAGGCAGCTGAGTCTGATCCAAGGTGCCCTGGGAGCGGGGCAGGAGCTCATCCTGGCACATATGGGCTGTGTCTCCTAGGAGAGGCCTCATTATTCCAGACCCCTGGAGAAGGAGAAACATTTTGCCATAAACGGTGGCACGATGAAGAGAAAGGTGGGGAACACAGAGCTGGGCCACACATGCACGAGGGGAGACAAAGCAGGAGAAGCGACCCCAGGGCCCCGGATCCAGGTTGCGGGGCTGGGCCTTTGTCCTGGAGGCAGCAGGAAGCCACGGGAGGGGCCCCGGGCAGCTCTGAGGGTCGGGGATTTACCTCTGGAAGGAGTGTGTGCCTGTGTCTGTCAGGACATATGATTAAGGTCCTGCCTGCCTGTGTCTGTGGGCCTAGCTCCTCTGGGTGGCTCCTGGCTGCGGTCAGGGGCTCAGCCCAGGAGCCCTCAGTTCCCAGGGGACCTGGGACAGTTCCGTCCTCACCCCTAAGCCCACGTTTCTCCTGTAACCTTGGACAGTGGTTGTCACAGGGGGCGGAGGGGGGATTTTTGCCTTCTAAGGGGCATCCGGCAATACCTGAGGCATGTATGGTTGTCACCACTGTGAAGAGGGGGGAAGCTACTGTCATCTGGTGGGTAGAGGCCAGAGATGCTGCTGAACATCCCGCACTGCGCAGTCCCCACGGGGAAGAATTGTCCGGCCCCGGCTTGGGAGTGTATGAGCAGGAGTGTGACCAATCCTGTGTGTGTGTGTGTGTGTGTGTGTGATCCGATCGTAGGTGACAGCGTGACTGTGTGCACCCGATTCTTGGCCCAGGGCAGCCCCTTTGTGTTGCGAGGCTGTGGCCATGTAACTGTCTCATTGCACACCGTAGCTTTCTGCACGACTTTCCAGAGGGCAGGGGCGTGGGCTGCTGAGCATGGCCCTCAGGCTGGCAGTGTCAGTGTGACTGATTAGGCCGGCGTGGGGGGCGGGTGAGAGAGAGAGAGAGAGAAAGAGAGAGAGGTGGCCCCCTGGATGGGGCTGTAACCGCTCGTGCGTAGACTGCACCTGCGTGCGGGGGGCTGTTGGCATCAGCACGATTGTGTGGGTCTAGTTGTGTGTGGTAGGGTGACCTTGGGCTGGCTGCGTGTCCTGGGCTGCGTGTCAGCGGGACTGTGTGCGCCCCCGTGCCTCTGAGCAGGCCCCATCGCCGTTCCTGTGTCGGAGTGCGGGACCGTTTCCCCCTCCGGCCCTGGCTCCGTGTGCCTTCCCCGGGCCTTGGTGCTGTGTCTGTCCCTGTGTGCGTCCGTCCCCTGGCCGTCTCCTGCTGTCACCAGGGCCGTGTGGCAGCGTCCACCGCACGCAGCACGGGGAGTGACTCTGGCCGGGCTAAGGGGCTGCAGGGTCCATCCCAAACCCCACGACCCGGGGAGCCCACCGCACTGGCTCTGCCCCAACCCGGTCCTGAGGGGCTGCTGATGGAGAGGGCCCCCGGGAGTCATTGGGGACGGCACGGGCAATTAATTCATTAGATTAATTAGCTCCTCATGCCAGGGCGGGGGCAGGGCGGCCCCGTTGCGAGGCCCTCCTTCCCCAGGCGTCCAAGGTCATCCGGCCTCCTCTCCCCCGCCTGATGCCGTCGCCAGCCGCCGCCTCCGAATGCCCAGCCCCCACTCCCTGGCCCCAGTCCAGCCCGCTGGACACGGTCCACAGAGAGATGAATGGGTGGGGGTGGGGGCTGTGCCGGGCGACGGTGCCCATGAGCGGCGCTGGGGGGGGGAGGGGGGGCGGGCAGGCGTGGGCGGGCCCCTGCAAGTGTGCCCCGTGGCCACGGGCAGGCGGGCGTGTCTGCAGACGCGTGTGTCTGCCGAGGTCTGCGTGTGGCTGTACACGGTGCCCAGGGGGTGTATTTGTGCGTCTGTGATAGATGTGCGTCAAGTGGATATACGCGTGCATCTGTGTCTGCGTTTACGCGTCTGGGTGTCTGCATCCACATGTGTGGGTGGCTCTGTGTGCGTTTCCGTGTATTTCTGAATTCGTGTGCCTACGCGCGAGCACGTGAACGTGTCTGAACATGTGTGCGAGCGCCCAGGTACACGGCTGTCTGTGTATCTGCACGTGTGTGTCTGTGCATATACATTTAGGTACTTGTGAGTCTGTGCATGTGTATGTATGTGTCTGCGTGCAGTATCTGTGAGTGTGTGTGTGCGTATATCCACACGTGTTTATGCGCTGTCACCGGGGTGCTGTCTTAGTATCTGGAGGCGTGTAGGTCTGTGTGTCCAGGTCCGTCTGGATCAGTGTGGGCTTATGGGAAGGAACACGTTGCATGTGCTTGCTCTGTGCGCGTCTGCCGTGCGTCTCGGGAAACACCGAAGGATGCGTGTGCCCTCGGGGTTGGGAGATGCCTGTGTGGGCCAGGGCACGTGCGTGTGTGTGCACATGTGTACGGTCCCCGCTGAGCTGCCGAGCCGAACTGGCCCTCCCGTCCCCAGGGCTGCTGTCCCAGAGCCTGGAGTTCAACTCTCCCGCGGACAACTACACGGTGTGCGAAGGTGACAACGCCACCCTCAGGTACCTCCC